AAATTGGTCTACATTAAGGTCCAAAGGGTCCAAAATTAAACTTAGTTTGATTTTAACAAAAATTGAATTCTTAGGGTTCTTTGATATGCTGAATCTAAACATGTATTTAGATTTTTGATTATGGGCCCAGTTTTCAAGTTGGTCCAAATCGGGGTCCAAAATTAAACTTTGTTTGATTTCAACAAAAATTGAATATATGGGGTTCTTTGATATGCTGAATCTAACCATGTATTTAGATTTTTTATTTTTTATGCCCCTTTATCAACTTTGCCCACATTGAGGTCAAAAGGGTCCAAAATTAAACTTTGTTTGATTTCATCAAAAATTGAATTCTTGGGGTTCTTTGATATGCTGAATCTAACCATGTATTTAGATTTTGGATATTGGACTATAATAGGTGAATGTCCAATTTAAAATTTTTAAGTTCTTAGACCACATTCATTCTGTGTCAGAAACCTATGCTGTGTCAAATATTTAATCACAATCCAAATGCAAAGCTGTATCAAGCTTGAATGTTGTGTCCATACTTGCCCCAACTGTTCAGGGTTCGACCTCTGCGGTCGTATCAAGCAGGGCCCTGCGGAGCATTTTATTAATTTTTTTTTTTTTTTTTCTTTCGCCTCATTTTGTTCTTGTGATAAATATTTGTTTCGCAATATGTCGCTTAGATATTTCTCATATTGTATCGTATAGTTTATGGGCTTTTAAATTTCACCCTGCTAAGACGAATAATTTTCTTTGTAAGAGTTATCTCCCTATTCACTGTTTATCAAGTGTGTGCATCTCCTTCGTAACAAAAAAAGATATAGACAAAATTCTTTTTCTAAATTGTTCGTTACATCCTCAGGAATTTTTGGCTAATTTGGATCGAAGCGATTCGCTGAAATTTTATAGGAGTTATCTACCTTTACCAAAAAAATTTGTCCGTATGTTTTTTTAACTCATAAACCTTTAACTGTATAACCCTGGAATGTTTTTATTTGAGACCCCTAGGTCCGAACTTAGAAAATGCAGTCAAGGTCAAAGGTTAAGGTCAAGTTCTAAATTTTGACTTTTCCTTGTTTTTGCATTTTCTCAAACACTTTTAAAGATATATATAAAAGAACAAGTGCAAAATGTTTGCTTTATTGTAATGAAGATATGTTACATTTGGTTTGAAACAATCTAATGGCATCTTATAGGAGTTAGTGCCCCTGAAATGTCTAATTATAAGGTTAATTGATTATTACTTCATCTTGGTTCATTATAAAGCCATATGACCTTTTACAAAAGGTTGGGTGACATATGACCTTAAAAAATGTCAACTGGAGACCTTGAGAAAACCGGAAGTAGCCATTTTTGCACTTTTGGCATGAAAAAGTACTTGGAATCCATATATTTTGTAATTTAGATACATTAACTTATCACTAAAGACTAGAAGTGACTTTCGATAAACTGGAAGTGGCCAATTATCTCCTGGTTTACAGGCAAAAGTATATAGAAACTATATATTTTGGGAATCAGTGTGAAAGAAGCTATCATATGAGACCGGAAGTGACGTTTACTTCACCGGAAGTAGTTAATTATCTTCCTTATTTCACTCAAAAGTAAATAGAAATCACTTATTTATCGTATCAGTATGAAGAAACTTATGATTGGATGCCAATTTTAACTTTGAGTAAATTGGAACTAACTTCTTTTCAATAACTTTGAAAATTGACGTGGAAAGACCTTCAATTGTTCTCTGAACAATTGGTTTTTAATTTCATTTTGTATCTCTTTATATATAACCTTGTACTTTTCAATGTCATCATTTTCTTTCAATGGATTTAATATAACTGTTTCTTTCATAGGTGGAAGGGGGAAACCAAAACGACAAATTCAGAGCTGTATCAAGCTTGAATGTTGTGTCCATACAAAAATTGAATTCTTAGGGTTCTTTGATATGCTGAATCTAAACATGTATTTAGATTTTTGATTATGGGCCCAGTTATCAACTTTGTCCACATTGAGGTCAAAAGGGTCCAAAATTAAACTTTGTTTGATTTCATCAAAAATTGAATTCTTGGGGTTCTTTGATATGCTGAATCTAACCATGTATTTAGATTTTGGATATTGGACCATAATAGGTGAATGTCCAATTTAAAATTTTTAATTCATTCTGTGTCAGAAACCTATGCTGTGTCAAATATTTAATCACAATCCAAATTCAGAGCTGTATCAAGCTTGAATGTTGTGTCCATACTTGCCCCAACTGTTCAGGGTTCGACCTCTGCGGTCGTATCAAGCTGCGCCCTGCGGAGCATTTTATTCTGCATGTTTTTGAATGTTTATGGACTTGCAATTTGACTAAACTAGTGTCATTTTCCAAGAATGAACAGGAGACATATTTATCAATAAATTTTACTACATCTTCATTTGAATCGCTTCCATATACTTGCGCATTTTCAATCCAGATCAAGATATGAATGTGTGGTGAACCTCTTTGTTGAAATTCAACCCTATAAAAATAATCTGTTAATTTCCCAATTGGATTGTGATCACTTTTCAACACCAGGTTGATAAACTGTTGGACATGATAATCAAAATATCTAGAGCATGTCACAGGGTCTTTCTGAACAAGTTTAGATTTCTGATTCCAATTCATTTCTTCCAATTCACTGTTAGTATACTCATTGCCATCATTTAAATACCTAGAATTCGTAATAAATCTTTCCAGTTAGTGTCTGCATATGAAAGAGAGCCAAACCATGTTGGACGACACAACTGCCTGATCATTGCAAACAAATCTTTCTTCCTCTTTTCAAGGTATACTGGAGAGTTTCTTAAACTTCTAAAGATTCAGTACATCTTTTGCTGTCCATTTTTTTCCATCTGATTGACATCTTCTTAGAGCAAAATTGACCTTATCACTTATGTTTTTTAATTGAATTTTCTTTAACTTGAAAAATATGTTTGGTACAGACTGTGCTACTCACCTATCCATGGACCTTAGTTCCCATTTGACAATATCAGTATAGTGAACAGAAACAGATCTCTCTTTGTTGCTTGCCTTATTTGACCACAAAATATAGTTGGAAAAGATAAGTACTCTGCATCAGGATCACTGTAGAGGCTAATTGTTCGTTGACCTTCACCAGGAGCAAAAGTTAAACCTGTATCACATGGTGGATTTTTGTCTGGAATGTAATCTAACAGTGTATCTGTATTTCCAACATGTGTTTCATTTTCATCTACTTCACTGAAATGATTGGAGTCATCATCTGTATGATTTAGATCTCGATTTTCCTCTTGTGTACTACTTTTTATACGACAGCAAAAAATTTTTGCGGTCATATATTGGTATGACGTTGGCGTCGTCTTCGTTGTCGTCGGTGTCGTCGTCGTTGTCGTCGTCATCCGAAGACACATTGGTTTTCGCACTATAACTTTAGTTTAAGTGAATGGATCTCTATGAAATTTTACCATAAGGTTAAATACCACAAAAGGAAGGTTGGGATTGATTTTGGGGGGTTATGGTACCAACAGTTAAGGAATTAGGGGCCAAAGGGGGCCAAAAATAAGCATTTTCTAGTTTCCAGACAATAACTTGTGGAACGGTGTATGGATCTCTCTGAAATTATACCACAAGTTTCCATACCACAAAGGGATGGTTAGGATTTGCTTTGGGAGGTTATGGCTCAAACCATTTAGGAATTAGGGACAAAAAAGGGGGAAAAACAAGGTTGTCCTGGTTAATGGACAAATACTTTAGTACAAAACATAATTTAAAGCAGTGTAAGGGAGATAAATCAAATACATCATTTGAATTATCTCCCTTACACTGCTTTTAAATTATGTTTAAAGAAATGCATATTTATAAAGGAAGACCAGTAAGAATATCTGCAAATGTTGCATTTTTTTTTTTACAAAAAAATCCATATGAAAGATTTGACACCATATTTTAAATTCTATTATAAAATAGATTAAGTTAGCACTATGGTAAATTTAAATGGGTAATTATGGTTGCAAACTCCATTGGAAATTTGAATTGAGATTATGACCATATCTTGAGTGAAAGAATTTTTTTTGGGAAAAAGGGGGGGGATAAAAAGAAATTGTGGGGGGTCTATTTTTTCTCATTTCAGATTTCAGAAATTAAAAAGAATTATTCTTCAAATATTTTTTTTTTTTCAAATTTCAAATATTGAAAAATTTCAAGAAGTAATCTTTAAGTGCACAGTATGGCACATTAGATTTGTAAAATCTTTGACCACATTTATTTATTTGTTATGCCGAATCTAACCGTGTGTTGAGATTTTTAATTTTGGGTCCAGTTTTCAAATTGTCCTACATTAAGGTCCAAAGGGTCCAAAATTAAACTTAGTTTGATTTTAACAAAAATTGAATATGTGGGGTTCTTTGATATGCTGAATCTAAAATGTATTTAGATTTTTGATTTTGGGCCCCGCTTTCAAATTGGTTCATATTGAGGTCAAAAGGGTCCAAAATTAAACTTTGTTTGATTTCATCAAAAATTGTATTATTGGGGTTCTTTGATATGCCAAATCTAACCGTGTATTTAGATTTTTAATTTTGGGTCCTGTTTTAAATTGGTCTACATTAAGGTCCCAAATTAAACTTAGTTTGATTTTAACAAAAATTGAATTCTTGGGGTTCTTTGATATGCTGAATCTAAACATGTATTTAGATTTTTGATTATGGGCCCAGTTTTCAAGTTGGTCCAAGTTGGGGTCCAAAATTAAACTTTGTTTGATTTCAACAAAAATTGAATATATGGGGTTCTTTGATATGCTGAATCTAACCATGTATTTTGATTTTTGGGCCCCGTTATCAAATTGGTCCACATTGAGGTCAAAAGGGTCCAAAATTAAACTTTGTTTGATTTCATCAAAAATTGAATTCTTTGGATTTTTTGATATGCTGAATCTAACCATGTATTTAGATTTTGGATATTGGACCATAATAGGTAAATTAAAAAAATTTAAGTTCTTAGACCACATTCATTCTGTGTCAGAAACCTATGCTGTGTCAAATATTTAATCACAATCCAAATTCAGAGCTGTATCAAGCTTGAATGTTGTGTCATAACTTGCCCCAACTGTTCAGGGTTTGACCTCTGCGGTCGTATCAAGCTGCGCCCAGCGGAGCATTTTATTTCATTTTGTGTTTCTTCTTTATTTATTTTTGCTATTTCTGTAATCCAATCCTTATTTATTTCTATTCCAGAAGACTTGTACAAGTCACTTGTTCTCATCAAATAATGTAATGCACAAATAACAGCAAATGGTCTGACATTTTCACTAAAATCACACTTTTTGAATGCCAGTTTCTTCTTCAGTTTAACTGATATTGTACCCGATTTGTCTGATGTATGTGGAAGTGAATTTATTGTAGGTTGAACTTCAACAGGCACATTTACAACATTGCCTTTAACTGATAACTGTCCACCTCTAGGCATGCAACTGTCGAATCTGCATAAAAGGAATTCTTAATGATAGCAGTCTCTCTTCAAAAGGATACAAATTTATTTCTTTTGGTCTTTGAGGAAATCCTATTTTATTGGCTATTGAAAATCGAGGAATTTTTTTGTTTTTTAATTGCATTGAGACAAGTGTGGCATATCCATTCTATGTGTTGTACAGATTTAAAATTGGTAAAGCAATGAGACATGTTAGCAGGAGTATTCATTTTAACTGTTTTAGCATTAACTACAGAATCACAGAACCAAGTTTGATGACATGAAGGACATATATATGTAGGACCTTCATTAATTTTTGTTTCAAAATATCGTATGCCTTGAATTCTTTTCTTTTTTAGTTCTTTTCATGATCTGTAAAATCGGTGTCTTTATTTTTAGTATTTTTGACTGACTGATTACAACTTCTGTCTTTGTCTAGGTTTTTCTGTTTAGAACTCTGTTTTGTCAAACGCTTGTACTCTAAATTTTCTGGATTTGACCTAGATTCTTGTTTTCTGTGGAAGTCTCGTTCGGACTCATGTTTTCTGTACTCTTCATCTTGTCTTGCTATTTTTTTCTTTTCTGCTTCATTTCTTTTGAAAACATCATTCTTTCTAGCTTCTCTTTTAGTAGCAAGTTCTCTTTTTGTGAAATCTTCATTCTTTCTAGCCTCTCTTTTAGAAGAAAGTTCTCTTTGTCTCTCTATCTGTCTTAAATCAGAATTATCTCTGAGACTTCTGACTTTCTTCTTCAGCTTTTCTATATAATTGTTATCCTTTCTTACTTCTCTTTTAGCAGCAAGTTCTCTTTTTGTGAAATCTTCATCCTTTCTAGCCTCTCTTTTAGAAGAATGTTCTCTTTGTCTCTCTATCTGTCTAAAATCAGAATGATCTCTTTGAGACTTCTGACTTTCTGCTTCAGCTTTTCTATAATTGTTATCCTGTCTTACTTCTCTTTTAGCAGCAAGTTCTCTTTTTGTGAAATCTTCATCCTTTCTAGCCTCTCTTTTAGTAGAATGTTCTCTTTGTTTCTCTATCTGTCTAAAATCAGAATAATCTCTTCGAGACTTCTTACTTTCTGCTTCAGCTTTTCTATAATTCATATCCTTTCTAACTTCTCTTTTAGCAGCAAATTCTCTTTTATTTAAATCCTCATGCTTTCTAGCCTCTCTTTTAGAAGAAAGATCTTGTTGTCAATCTATCTGTCTAAAATCAGAATTATCTCTTTGAGACTTCTTACTTTCTGCTTCAACTTTTCTATAATTTTTATCCTTTCTAGCCTCTCTTTTAGAAGAAAGATCTCTTTGTCTCTCTATCTGTCTAAAATCAGAATTATCTCTTTGAGACTTCTTACTTTCTGCTTCAACTTTTCTATAATTTTTATCCTTTCTAGCCTCTCTTAAAATTAGAAGAAAGATCTCGTTGTCTCTCTATCTGTCTAAAATCAGAATTATCTCTTTGAGACTTCTTAATTTCTGCTTCAGCTTTTCTATAATTGTTATCCTTTCTTACTTCTCTTTTAGCAGCAAGTTCTCTTTTTGTGAAGTCTTCATACTTTCTTGCCTCTCTTTTAGAAGAATGTTCTCTTAGTCTCTCTATCTGTCTAAAATCAGAATTATCTCTTCGAGACTTCTTACTTTCTGCTTCAGCTTTTCTATAATTCATATCCTTTCTAACTTCTCTTTTAGCAGCAAGTTCTCTTTTATTTAAATCCTCATCCTTTCTAGCCTCTCTTTTAGAAGAAAGATCTCATTGTCTCTCTATCTGTCTAAAATCAGAATTATCTCTTTGAGACTTCTTATTTTCTGCTTCAACTTTTCTATAATATTTATCCTTTCTTGCCTCTCTTTTAGAAGAATGTTTTCTTTGTCTCTCTATCTGTCTGAAATCAGAATTATCTCTTCGAGACTTCTTACTTTCTGCTTCAACTTTTCTATAATTTTTATCCTTTCTATCCTCTCTTTTAGAAGAAAGATCTCATTGTCTCTCTATCTGTCTAAAATCAGAATTATCTCTTTGAGACTTCTTACTTTCTGCTTCAACTTTTCTATAATTTTTATCCTTTCTAGCCTCTCTTTTAGAAGAAAGATCTCTTTGTCTCTCTATCTGACTAAATTCAGAATTATCTCTTTGAGACTTCTTACTTTCTGCTTCAACTTTTCTATAGTTTTTATCCTTTCTAGCTTCCCTTTTAGAAGAAAGTTCTCTTTGTCTCTCTATCTGTCTAAAATCAGAATTATCTCTTTGAGACTTCTTACTTTCTGCTTCAGTTTTCTATAATTTTTATCTTTTCTTGAATATCTTTTAGCATTTAATTCTTTTTCCCTGAATGTTTTATTTTTTCTTCTATTTTGCATGTAGTTTTTCATATATACAAATTTGAATACCTTTGTTATAACTTGACTCTTCAACAGAACAGCTTGATCATCTTTTTCATTGCTAACAGAATGTTCCTTGCAACAAGATTTGATATACTGGTAAGCAACCTTTTTTTGTTTTGTGTTCTTTAGTTTCTGATCTTCAAAATAATTCTTGATCTGCTTGTTTAGGACTGTCTCTGTATCTTTACTACTGATGCATACAGGTAGAATTTCACATTGTGAGTCTAAATCAATTTGTAAACTTGTGTAAAAAGCATACAAGTAACTGACAAGGTCATGTAAGTCAGCAAATCCTATCAAGATACTTTTACTCGAGGAATCTAATGGGTTATTTAGTGTACATTTGGAGTGAGAATGAGTGTAGAAAAAATAGTATACATGATTATAATAACAAACTGCTGAACATATGGCTCCAATCATAATAAGAAATGTTTGACTGCTTTGTACAATTTTGAACTGCTTCTTGAATGTGAGAAATCCAGACAACTCTTGGTACTGTAAAGCTATACCAAACAGAATATTTTGTTTGTTAATTGTAAAAATTCCCTCAGATATTTCTATCTTGACAGGAATTTCATCAAAATTTAAAAGCATACTTTGAAACAATCCCTGTGCTGTTAATTCTTGAACATGCTTCCTGTAAGTTTTATCTCCCTTATTTAAAATGTAATCCAGATTCAGTGTGTTTTGATCAAATTTTAAAGTAGTTAGTGATAAGAAAACTAAGCAATTACAAGTACATTGGTTGCCCCTGATTTGATAGGCAAATTTTGTGGCATACTGGTCAAATGTTCCAAATTTAACAAAGTGTGCATTAAAAGAATTGATATTTTTTTATACTTCTTGTTCTGAATTATTTTTAGATTGTTCATTCTGGTTTTGCAACAGATTGGTTTGGGTGTTACTATAAGAATCCTTCTTTGCATAATTATTGATTGATTGATTTGACAGAAAATCTGTTTGTATATGAGAGGTATGAGAATTTCTTTTGCATAATTATTGTTATCGTTTTGATTCAATTCAGATAGTTCAAGTTGGTTCAATGCAGATAGTTCCAGTTGATTCAATTTAGATAGTTCAAGTTGGTTTAATTCAGATTGTTCATTTTGATTCAATTCAGATGGTTTAGTAACTGTTTCAGTATAAATATGAGAAGTTTTTTTTGGCAATTCTTTTGTTACTGTTGTTTGCACTTAAGTGGAGGTCAGTATCCACCAAGTTATTTGAGCAACTGTTGTTGAGGGTGTCAGTATCACCCGTGTCAAGGTCAAATTTTGTACTGTTAATGGGGCCAGTATCCCCAGTCAAGTTCGTCAGTCTCTGTTTCTTTGGGTTCTTCACACCATGTTAAGCCTCTGCTGCTCTCCAATTTTTTCTTCTTGGTATCTTTAAAAATCTATAATTACATATGTAAATAATGTACAATGCTGAGGACAATATATTGCAAATATACAAATTAAAACATTAAAAGCTAGATGAACAATTTCCTAATAAGAGGTAATATGATTGGGCTAGACATAGTACATATATATATAAAAAATATAATAGACACAGTAATTACTATGTAAGCCTCTTGTATTGGAATAAAATATGTTAAGTGCAATTATGGTTTGTAAACATGTGGTTGGCATTTGGTTAAATAAAAAAAAATAAATTTGTAGGCGATTTATTTGTACACTCTAGGCTTTTTGTTCAATTTCTTTTTTATCATAAACAATGTTAGTGTATGTTAACCAACAGTCCATACTATCAACAATTATAAAAGATAATGAGCAAAGAAAACAGTTTTTCATATTTTTTGTACAAAAAAACACTTATCAAATGAATTATATTAGATACATTCAATAGTCTTGTCAATCTAAGTGCTACAGTACAAAATGTATGCACCAAACACAAATCAGACAATGTTTTACTATCATAGGGGTCAAGCATCAAATTTAAGGTCAGAGTGACCTAATTTAGATATAAGACGCCACCCCCCCCCCCCCCCCCCCGCCCCACCCCCACCCCACCCCACAATCCCATGATGTATCATAATACCAAGTTTGGTGAACCTCAGTTCTATAGTACAATAGTTATGTGCAGCGCACAAATCAGACAAGGTTTTACCATCATAGGGGTCAAAGGTTAGAGTGAACAGACACACCAAGCCCATGATGCAACTGCACACCTAGTTTGGTTAACATAAGTTTCACAGAACAAAAAATATGAACAGGACACGAATTGGATAATGTTTTGCTATCTTAGGGTTCAAAGTCAAGGTCGGAGTGACCTGCCTTTGGTATACCACACACCCCAAGCACATGATACAACTGCATACCAATAAGTTGTACGGTACAAAAATATGAGCCAGACACAATATTGGATAAGGTTTTATGGTCATAGGGGTCAAAGTCAAGGTCAGAGTGACCTGACTTTGGTATATGACACACCCCAAGCCCATCATGTAACTGCATACAAAAATGGTTTAACTAAGTTTTATACCCAAGAGAAAATAAATCTGGGATCCCAATGGAATTCCGTCTGGAATTCCAACGGGATTCCAACTGGAATCCCACCTCATTCCACCGGGATAAAATTTCGGGATTCCCGCAAAAGAAGCGGGATCCAGATGTAAATCCCATTGGAAATATACTGGGATCCCACTGGGATATTGTGGGATTTTGATTGGAATATACTGGGATTCCCGGAAAAAATCGGGATCCTGAAATAAATCCCAGTGTAAATATACTGGGATATTGTGGGATTTTGATTGTATATAAATTACAAAAGTTATGAGCAAGACACAAATTGGATAAAGTTTTACTATCATCGTGGTCAAAGGTCAAATTCAAGGTCAGAGTGACCTGACTTTAGAATAACACATCCTAAGCCCATGATACAACTGCATACTATGTTTGGTTATCCCAAGTTTTACAGTACAAAAGTTATGAGCCAAACATGAATTGGACAAGGTTTTACTATCATAGGGGTCAAAGGTTTAAGTCACAGTGACCTAACTTTGGTATATGACACCCCCAGCCAATGATGCAACTGCATACTAAGTTTGGTTTAATTAAATTTTATGGTACAAAACTTATGCACCAGACACAAAGCAGGACAGACAGACATGGTGATTCCTATATACCCATATACCCCCACCCCCCAAAAAATTAACTTTGTTTGCGGGTGGTATAAAAACTAGAAGATACATGTATATCCTTTTTTTACCCTTATGGAGCAAAATCAAGTCACACTTTTGAAAAATAATTCATAAAGGATTCCTCTGAAACCTGTGTCTTTCCTTAATTTATTGTTAAATACATGAAAAAATAAAAGATGAATGTGTGCGGGGACAAAAATGCCCCGCTCAAGCTTTGCAATTTTCCAATTTAAAAGTGGCATAACTCTAGAACAGTCAATGAAATACTGCCAAAATTCGAACTCTGTCTGCAAGTTTTGGTTCTTAGCATTGTGTATGAGTTTCATAAAATTTGGGTGAGAAAAGCTTAGTGCAGAAACGAAAAAAATTTCAATTTTCCAAGTTGTTAATGGGCATAACTCTAGAACAGTAAGCTACTCACAGCCCAAATTCAAACTCTGTCTTCAAGTTTTGGTTCCCAGCATTGTGTATGAGTTTCGTAAAATTTGGATGATGAAAACTTAAGAGTGCGGTAACAAAAATGAGACGGACAGAAAGACGGAAGGACAGACGGTCAAGGGTAACACTTGTTGCCTATGGCGGGGGAATAAAAACTAGAAAAAGTTTTAAAGGCTAAGATAGTGTCTGTTTTTCCATCCCAACAATAGTGTAAACATCTATGGCAATTAAAGTAATACATAAATTCTAGATGTGTCTGCTTTTATGGAACATCAAAAATTCAATAAAGGTTCCATTGAAGCCACTAAACATATCTGAGAAACAGATCAAATCACATAACTAACCTTGATGACTGACCCACCAAATGAAGCAGAGGTCAGACTTGTAGACCTTGCAAGGATATTCTATTTACCAAATATTCACATAATAAGTGAGCAATTCACATGCATGACATGGCAAAAAGACTATAGGTTTTTTAATCAGTAGCTAAACCATGAAAATTAGGCATCTCTATATAAGATATTAAGCATCCAGGTTTGTTATATTACTTTCAGAAATATAAAGCTTTTAAAACAAATAATTTACACAGATGTCACATATCTGACTGACAAAAGCAGCATTTGACAGTAAACACACATAATTCTTCTTCTATTTTTTTAGGGGGGGGGGGGGAGAGAGAGGGGGAGAGGGAGGGAGCATCTAATTAAAGTCAGGATAAACTAAAGTATGCTTGAGCAGTTCTCCTTAACAAAGCTGTATGGCGTTTCATTAATCAATTAAAGGTTATGGAAAAAGGAAAAATATAAAGAGTCAGTACACAACAAACAGAACAATATTTGTTAAATATTTTTATTGAATTAAAACGCAATAATATTCATCAGACATATATATATATATTGTACTCTTTATTAGTCCCAAACCGATGAAGTCGAAGGGGACTTTAGGTTTGCACTCCGTCCATCTGTCTGTCTGTCTGTCTGTCTGTCTGTCTGTCCATCTGTCAGTCTGGCAAATCAGTTTTCCACACTTTTTTTCTTCGTGCTTGAAGATATTGATTTGATATTTGGTGTATTGTTTTATCATGACAAGTTACAGATCAAGTTCGAATTTTGTTCCGGTCTGATGATTTTGTGCAGAGTTATGGTCCTTGGACTTAGAAAATTCACTCAAACAATCAGTTTTCCTCACTTTTTTTTCGCCATGCTTGAAGATATTGATTTGATAAATGGTATATAGTTTTATCATGACAAGTTACAGATCAAGTTCGAATTTTGTTCCAGTCTGATGATTTTGTGCAGAGTTATAGTCCTTGGACTTAGAAAATTCACTTAAATAATCAGTTTTCCACACTTTTTTTTCGTCATGCTTGAAGATATTGACTTGATATTTGTTATATAGTTTACACCGTGACAAGTTATCTATCAAGTTAGCATTTTGTTCCAGTACAATGAATTTTTAACCGGTAGGGGACTATGTATTGCCATGCAATACTCTCAGAATGCTTGTTGTTTTTATTTTCATCCTTATATCTGTTACCAGATTGTTTCTATTCAACATCCTTGTTGAGAACATGCAAAACATTGGGAGTACTGTTAAAGCTATTTCCATCATTTTAATTTTATTTGCTCTCTTTATATTCGGGTAGAATCTGCTTTGGCCGACCCCAGATGTTGGGAAATGCAAAAATTAACAAATATACAATGTATTTATTTTGCATAATTCTTTCATCATCAATATTTTACATTCTAAATTTAATATTCTAGCTTTATAAGTATTAAACAGATTTTTCATTTAGACTGATCGGATCCTATTCATCTATATTATATCATTTGCCAATGTCTATTTGATTATAGTGAGCCACTTTTGTTTTAAACTTTAACACTTTTCCAGCACTCCGTGTGTTACCTTCAAAAAGTTCACCAAAAAGAAAGTTTTTAACTTTTCATTAAAGAATTTCTATCTGCTATATCTTAATACCACAAAGAAACTATATCACAACAAAGTCCAATAAATATAACTGAAATTCATTACACTAAAAATATGGTCTTCATTCATGTAAAGTAAATGGTATGTTTCAAATATTTCTTAAATATTCTTTCATACTGATATTTTATATTTAATTTATCACTGGATATGAAAACAAGGGACACAATTCAATTTAAAAATATTTTTCTTAAACTTTTATTAAAGTGTAAAATAAATTTTACAACATCTGTTATTTTCAAAATGAATTGTAAACTAAAACTTCATGCATGAACTGTAACTCAGATTCTCCCTAGACAATGAAAGGTCCAAAATTGAATTTGATATCTGCAAAGGCATCACAGTACAACAGAATACTGCATTTTTCTCAAAATTTTGGGGAAAAAACCTCTATAATAGTCTATTGACACTTTGAGAAATATGAATTAATTTGGAGATCTTGTATTGTTGTCAAATTTAGACTTTCAAAGTTTCTGTTTTACTATAAAGTTTTAATGATATTATAGGTTAAAACACTTTAATTGGTAAAAATTCATCATTTATTCATACTTGCCAACCTCTGACAATGAGAAATCATGTCATGACATGACATGAAATGTCAAAAAGCGTGTGAAAATGCGTGACGTAGATGCAGACTTTTTAATATGAACAATGTTCATAATTTCACATTATATGCAAATTTGTTAATATAAAAAACAATATTCAACTGTAAACTTTTATTGTTTTCAACAGTGGTCTGTTTTGCTGCTTTTAAAGCAACACCACTAGGCACATAGTCAAAACACCTGCTGGTTTCGATACATTTACTTGATAACAAGGCACACAATATATCATTGTCGAGTTCTGATCAGAAATCAGTGTAAATTTCTTTATAATTGAAAAATGATCTCTCACAGTCAGAATTGATATTTGGCTGAACTAAAATTGCTTCATGAAGCTTTGAAAGAGTGTCATAATGTTTTTTTGCCATCTAAAATGTCATCTATGATCTCTACCATTGCTCCCAACAAACTATACAATATATGTTGCTATTGCCTGGTCAAAACTGGGTAGTTCATCAGAAGACAGCTAATACTATGAGAACTGATCCAACAGTTCCGTGATATTTCCATCCCCTATGGCCTGTGGAAATCTGTTGGCTACATTTGAAACTGAAAAAGAAAAATATTTTATAATTGTTAAATGCTTAATCAAATAGCTATGTATTTTAGTTCTCCTCTCATATGTATTGTTATGATTGCAACATAGAGTGCACAATGCGTTACTCATCCCTCGATGATATAAACTCGAACTCCCAAATATAATTTATAAATCTTGAAATTATCTTGGTACGTACACATCGTTTTCGCTTAGAAATCGGCTCTTTAGACGACGGTTCAGGTCCTGAAAGTGACCTCTTTCTGAGGACATTTCCCCTAAGTGAATTTGAAAGAAAGAAAGTCCCAAAATCGTAAATACTAATCACAAACTACTTACCTTAAGAGCTTTTGCTGTTCGTCCATATAGAAAAATAAACAATATGGCCACCTAACAATTACTTCGAAATTTCGGTATTTATCGTGTTATAATGAAAAAACCCGAGAATCGCGATATCACTAACAACAAAAAAATCAAAACAACGAAAAAGCGTGTAATTGCGTGTAAAGTGGTGAAAAGCGTGTACACGCCATGTGATAAAATCCTTGCGTGTAAACCGTTGAAAAAGCGTGTATTACACGCGAATATCATGTCAGTTGGCAACTATGCATTTATTGGCAAATAATCTTGTGAGTTGCTGGACAACTTCTGTCATATATTGAATTATTACCAAAGCTTCTTTTCAATTACTCCTATAAGGAATCAACTGATAACTAAATAAACTTGGGCCCTGATTCCTATATGACTTTCAAGGTAATAGGCAAATACGCACAACATGGTAATTGTAGTCATTTAGGGGCAATAACTGATAAAAGGAGTCAACAAATGATTTATGCCATGCTATATTATTATTAGATCTTGTCTTCCTGATCATTATTGCGGTTTACAGTTTCTATTTATTCATTATAGTTTTCAAGATAAAAGGCAAAAATGAAAAAAAAATGATAACCTAAGAAAATTTGTCATTTAAGGGCAATAACTCTAATAAGGAGTCGTCTGACAATTTCTGACATTTGACTTAATTGTAGGTCTTGTTTGGCTGATAATTTTTATACGACCGCAAAAAAAATTGCGGTCGTATATTGGTATCACGTCGTCATTGTCCGCGTCGTCTGAAGACATTTGGTTTTCATACAATAACTTTAGTATAAGTAAATAGAAATCTATGAAATTTAAACACAAGGTTTATGACCATAAAAGGAAGGTTGGGATTGATTTTGGGGTAATGGTCCCAACAGTTTAGGAATAAGGGGCCAAAAAGGGGCCCAAATAAGCATTTTTCTAGTTTCCAGACAATAACTTGTGGAATGGTGTATGGATCTCTCTGAAATTATACCACAAGTTTCCATACCACAAAGGGATGGTAAGAATTGGTTTTGAGGGGTTATGGCTCAAACCGTTTCGGAATTAGGGGCAAAAAAGGGGGGAAAACTAGGGTGTCCTGGTTAATGGACAATAACTTAAGTACAAAACATAATTTAAAGCAGTGTAAGGGAGGTAATTCAAACACAACATTTGAATTACCTCCCTTACACTGCTTTTAAGTTATGTATAAAGAAATGTTGTATTGTCTTGAGGTGATTAGCTGTCAATTTATTTTTAGAAGTTACCATTTAAAAATGCTGATGAAGGTAATTTAATTTTAGCCATGATTATGTATGTCATTTTTAAGACTTTTATGATGTATTTAAATGGGTTATTATGGTTGCAAACTCCATTGGAAATTTGAATTGAGATTATGACCATATCTTGAGGGAAAGAATTTTTCTTTGGAAAAGGGGGGGAAGGTTAAAAAAATATTGGGGTGGTGGGGACAATTTGCTCTCAAGATTTCAGAAATTAAAAAGAAAATTTCTTCAAATATTTTTTTGGGGGGAGGGGTATCAATTCGCAACAGCATAGTGTATTGCACAAAGGCAAAAAATTAATATAAATTCAAATCACATAACAATTCAAGTTCTTTGACTACAGTTATTCTGTGTCAGAAACCTATTATGTGTCAAATATTTAATTACAATCCAAATTCAGACCTGTATCAAGTGCGAATATTGTGTCCATTTTTGCCCCAACTGTTCAGGGTTGGACCTCTGTGGTTGTATCCAACTGTGCTTGGCGAGGCAATTTATTGCTGTTTAAAGTTACTATCTATCTATAATGGTTTTCAAGTAAATAGGCAAAAACGGAAAAAAAAATTGATAAAATTTGTCTTTAAGGGCAATAACTCCTATAAAAAGTCGTCTGATAGTTATGATGTAAATGAACAATAGGTATATCTCATCATTCTGAACATTTCTGATCCTGTCAGATTTTCTCTTTTCATAGCGGGTTTCAAGATTATAGACAAAGTTTGCATTTTACTCCTATGTTCTATTTTTAGCCACATCGGCCATGTTGGTTGGCAGGCAGGGTCATCGGACACATGTTTTAAACTAGATTATAAGATACCCCAATGATGATTGTGGCCAAGTTTGGTTATATTTGACCCAGTAGTTTCAGAGGAGAAGATTTTTGTAAAAGTTAACGACGACGACGGACGCCAAGTGATGAGAAAAGCTCACTTGGCCCTCTGGGCCAGGTGAGCTAAAAAAGCATGCTCTCGTTTGTCTGTACCTTGTCAAGTTAAACATTTATAAGACAGGAATTCACTTATACGTATTTACTATGTTTTTATTAGACCTATATTAGAGTATGGTGATGTTGTTTGGGCCAACTGCTCTCAGCACGAGTCCGAGCTTCTTGAAAATATTCAAATAGAATCTGCTAGAATTATTACTGGACTACGGCGTAATTCCTCAAGACATAAACTTTATATTGAATAAGGATAAGAAACTCTGGAGAATAGACAAAATAAACATAAGCTTATACTGTTTTATAAAATATTAAATGGGATGACACCTGCATACTTATATGAGTAAGTCCAGCCATATTTTCCCAGACAAACCCCTTATACTTTGAGGAATGAAAATTATACTTTTCACCCCCCACTTGCTAGAACTAGCTCCTACTTTAATAGTTTCATTCCTTCCTCTGTAAGACTTTGGAATGGTCTTCCTCTAAGTATACAAAAATCCCCGAGTTTGTGTATATTTAGAGGTAGACTAGACAAATTTTATAGGACTGATGAAATATTTAAACCTTTTAATTATGGGATAAGGAAACATAATATTAGTCATTGTCAACTTAGAAATAGTGCTAGCAACATAGAATCTCATTTGTTTAATCAATTTTTATCAGAGAACACTATTTGTTTAAACTGTAATCACCCTGTTGAGGATAAACAGCATTTCTTTTTTATTTGCCCTAAGTACAATGATGTAAAACAGATCTTACTTGATTCCATTTACTGAATTGTTGATGATAATGTTGACATAAATATTGACTTATTACTTTTTGGAAACAGATTATTTTCTTATGATATAAATATTTCTATTTTTAAATCTGTTCAGAAATATATCAGTGACACTCACCTTTTTGTTTGATTTTTTTTTTTTTTTTTTTTTTATTTATAGTGTTTATTTTTTTTCATTTCTTTCCTTCTTTTTTTTTCAACATCATTTCATTTATTCCACTAAGTAAGCTAAGTGTCTCTTCCAAACCTTATGTATATATTTATGATGACTTATAAAGGATATTTACATGTCTCAAGGTACTTGAATAAATAATGATAAATTGCCTACATACTTAAATATACTGGTGTCCCTGCTATTCCTACATTTTATAAATTCATATTCCTTCTATTCCTACAAACAAAGAACAATAGATGTTGGTATAAGGTGTTTTGTTCTATTAGCAATTTGAATTTGATTTAGATACAGGCAAGTACAGGTAATGTGGAAAGGATTATTACAATGATAAAAATTAATAATAAATAAAAGAAGATGCATTGTAGAGAATATAGAATAGAACATTCCCCCAAAAAATGTATTTCTGTTAAAAATTTAAAAAAAATGTTTTAAAAACAATAAACTACGGAAGCGTATTAGTGCCACACAATTTTTATACGCCCGTTTACGGGACGTATTATGGTATACCGTTGTAAGTCCGTCTGTCCGTCCGTCCGTCGTCAACATGTCGGACATTAACTCAAAAATGCTTTAACCAATTTGCTTAAAACTTTGGTGAATTGTTTATATCTATTGACGTGAGCTCCCTTTCATTTTTAGCTCACCTGACCTGAAAGGTCAAGTGAGCTTTTCTCATCACTTTGCGTCCGTCGTCCGTCGTCCTGCGTCCGTCGTCCTGCGTCCGTCGTCCGTCGTCCGTAAACTTTTACAAAAATCTTCTCCTCTGAAACTACTGGGCCAAATTTAACCAAACTTGGCCACAATCATCATTGGGGTATCTAGTTTTAAAAATGTGTGGCGTGACCCTGTCAACCAACCAAGATGGCCGCCACGGCTAAAAATAGAACATAGGGGTAAAATGCAGTTTTTAGCTTATAACTCAAAAACCAAAGCATTAAGAGCAAATCTGACATGGGGTAAAATTGTTCATCAGGTCAAGATCTATCTGCCCTGAAATTTTCAGATGAATCGGACAACCCGTTATTGGGTTGCTGCCCCTGAATTGGTAATTTTAAGGAAATTTTGCTGTTTTTGGTTATTATCTTGAATATTATTATAGATAGAGATAAACTGTAAACAGCAATAATGTTCAGCAAAGTAAGATTTACAAATAAGTCAATTTAACCGAAATGGTCAGTTGACCCCTTTAGGAGAAATTGCCCTTTATAGTCAATTTTTAACCATTTTTCGTAAATCTTAGTAATCTTTTACAAAAATCTTCTCCTCTGAAACAACTGGGCCAAATTAAACCAAACTTGGCCACAATCATCATTGGGGTATCTAGTTTAAAAAATGTGTGGCGTGACCCGGCCAACCAACCAAGATGGCCGCCACAGCTAAAAATAAAACATAGGGGTAAAATGCAGTTTTTGGCTTATAACTCAAAAACCAAAGCATTTAGAGCAAATCTGACATGAAGTAAAATTGTTTATCAGGTCAAGATCTATCTGCCCTGAAATTTTCAGATGAATCGAACAACCTGTTGTTGGGTTGCTGCCCCTGAATTGGTAATTTTAAGGAAATTTTGCTGTTTTTGGTTATTATCTTGAATATTATTATAGATAGAGATAAACTGTAAACAGCAATAATGTTCAGCAAAGTAAGATTAATAAATAAGTCAACATGACTGAAATGGTCAGTTGACCCCTTTAGGAGTTATTGCCCTTTATAGTCAATTTTTAACAATTTTTCGTAAATCTTAGTAATCTTTTACAAAAATCTTCTCCTCTGAAACTACGTGGCCAAATTAAACCAAACTTGGCAACAATCATCATTTGGTTATCTAGTTTTAAAAATGTGTGGCGTGACCTGGTCAACCAACCAAGATGGCCGCCACGGCTAAAAATAGAACATAGGGGTAAAATTCAGTTTTTGGCTTTTAACTCAAAAACCAAAGCATTTAAAGCAAATCTGACATGGGATAAAATTGTTCATCAGGTCAAGATCTATCTGCCCTGAAATTTTCAGATGAATCGGACAACCCGTTATTGGGTTGCTGCCCCTGAATTGGTAATTTTAAGGAAATTTTGCTGTTTTTGGTTATTATCTTGAATATTATTATAGATAGAGATAAACTGTAAACAGCAATAATGTTCAGCAAAGTAAGATTTACAAATAAGTCAATTTAACCGAAATGGTCAGTTGACCCCTTTAGGAGAAATTGCCCTTTATAGTCAATTTTTAACCATTTTTCGTAAATCTTAGTAATCTTTTACAAAAATCTTCTCCTCTGAAACAACTGGGCCAAATTAAACCAAACTTGGCCACAATCATCATTGGGGTATCTAGTTTAAAAAATGTGTGGCGTGACCCGGCCAACCAACCAAGATGGCCGCCACAGCTAAAAATAAAACATAGGGGTAAAATGCAGTTTTTGGCTTATAACTCAAAAACCAAAGCATTTAGAGCAAATCTGACATGAAGTAAAATTGTTTATCAGGTCAAGATCTATCTGCCCTGAAATTTTCAGATGAATCGGACAACCCGTTGTTGGGTTGCTGCCCCTGAATTGGTAATTTTAAGGTAATTTTGCTGTTTTTGGTTATTATCTTGAATATTATTATAGATAGAGATAAACTGTAAAAAACGATAAATGTCGGCAAAGTAAGATCTACAAATAAGTCAACATGACCGAAATTGTCAGTTGACCCCTTTAGGAGTTATTGCCCTTTATAGTCAATTTTAACCATTTTTTCGTAAATCTTAGTAATCTTTTACAAAAATCTTCTCCTCTGAAACTACTGGGCCAAGTTAATTATAGATAGAGATAATTGTAAGCAGGAAAAATGTTCAGTAAAACACATCACCATCACCAAAACACAATTTTGTCATGAATCCATCTGCGTCCTTTGTTTAATATTCACATAGACCAAGGTGAGCGACACAGGCTCTTTAGAGCCTCTAGTTTATAAATTTTAGATATTACGTTTCCGAGTTATGGGGTTTTATTCATTAAAAAAAGG